TGAGGTTTTGAGCCACCGAACGTCCCCCTTTCACGTAAAAACATTGCTCTAATTTTAAATTCAGGTGAAAGTAGAACGGCCAATCATCGCTTTTTCCATCTTATTTTCCTATATATTGAAAAAGTTCGGGCTACTTCTATTCCCTTGCTCCTTTCATCTGTCCTTCTTTTTTCAATATAATTAAGATTACATTAAACTTGAAAAAATAATTGAAATCCATAGAAATTCAAGAGAAAACGAACAATCTGAATTTGCCAGAAGACACCGCTAATTTTTTTTTTGCTCGAAGAAAATGAAAATGAGAAGGTTTCATTTCTCAACAAGCTGTTCATGTGTGGAGCGGTCGTGCTTACGAGCGCATTTGAACGAAATTTCAACCAACATCAACTTTAAATTGACATCAGAAAAAATCCTTGGAAAATTGATCAAATCAAGAAAACTTTTCATTGTTGGAATGTTATTTTCAAATTCTCGAAAACCTTTCAACGTGTGTTTAACTCGATTGGGAAACAACTATTAATTCAATTTTTCATGACTTAACGAACAATCGATAGATCTTTGGAAGTCCATAACAACTCTTCGATTAGTTCTATACTTTAGCCCAAACTACAAGTAAGCATATCGCTACAGAAAACAACGAAAGAATCAACCTAGTTCTACTTTCCTTGTTAAACTGATAAAGAAAACGTACAAGAACAAACTAAGTGCAAGTATTGCTGAGAAATATTAACAAGTCGAGATGAACAAGGTATTGCCGCCAACTGAAATTGGATCTCGGAAAAACTAACTCAAACCAATATGATGAAAATAGCACAGAGTAAAGGCTAACCAACGGCTAGACCAGGAAGTAAACGAGCCAATGACCTTTAAAGAAACAAATAAACGCTCTGAACGGAATTTCAACCAACAGAGTTCAAACTACAAATCAACTGAACTACCATTCGGCCGTTGTTTTCATATTACTAATGACGTTTTCTCCTCACTGGATGATCAAGGTGACAAGATTGGAACAACTGGCTATAGTTAATTACAAGCTACACACAGTACCGTTTACGCAATGAGCAATGATGTGAACTGTCTCTCACACAGATACATATAAGTTAAAGGTGTCACTGAGAAGTTTTGTGCAACTTTAGTACTACTGAAGTTCACAAAAATATTCGGATTTAATCTGTCTGATTAGAGCGCATCTCAGGAGTACTGTAGATCGCTTTGGGTCATGTTTCTTGAAATTCTACTAATTACTTGCAACGTTTGTTAACGCTTATATTTCCTTTTCCGGTGCCAAAGGATATACATGTTGTTTTCCGCCAGTCTCGATGAGCGTGAGATTGTAAACGGTGTCTGCAGCTTTTTCATTATTTCTGCATCGTGCCAACTGAGCGGCGCCGTACACTATTTCATTTATGATGCACCACATTTTCGATATTTGAAGAAAAGGAAGATGCAGAGTCATATGCCAGTTGAGTTGCACGATATCGAACAAGAGTTACGAATGTTTGGGTGATACCAAGAGTTAGAAAATTATCCGATATTATCAGTTTGGTGCTGAACTTCGATGACCTGTTAGTTACATTCATACTTTTCTGGCTATATTGGAATATTTGCGCACTTTCTTTGAAGTATCTTCAGGTTTTAAATTTAGTTTTTTGCCTTATTATCAATGGCATAAAGAAGAGGTGATAAGGAATATCGAGGCCCAACGTAATCTCTCATTAAGCTTCGGCAGTTGCTTCTGTTTACGTTGATTGCAGCTGATAAACAGTATAATGAGGAACCCCAGGTAATAAATATGTTTAACAGTTTTTAACCATCTATTGAACTCAAGCATTTCCTAATTTGTATTTTGTTTCGGATTTCTAATCATTTCTTTATTTTTTTCGTCCTAAGTTTTTATTAGTGATGTGATTGTTCAACAAAGCTTATCATTGATTGATTCCTCTATCGTGGTGATACGATCGGTCGGCATTCAAATTATGCGTTGTTATAGTTAAATTGCTTTTGTCTTATACCATTTGAAGCAAATCGTATATACATCATCGTTTCCGCTTTTCACCGCTTCCCAATATTTCACTATAAAACTAATTTAGACGTATAATCATTATATGTAAAACCTTACTATCTATGACTTTAACTTTGATCAATAAACTATCTGATGCAAATAACATCATTCCTTCGAGAAATTGTCTGCTTGAAAGATAAAAAATGTTTTAACCCTATTCAAAAAACCTTGGAACCATATTCACTGCTATTCCAAATAATTTAAGTTTTCAAAAATTAAGGTGTGGGAAGATGACGTCTCCGTTTGATGCGGATGACTTCATGAAACGTGGGTTTCTATCTACAATTATGGGATTCAAGAAAAAGAACAAGTCTATGGAAACCCATACTAACCCTTGTAAGTTAGAATTACATTATATGTGAAACCAAATGTTCATGTAACTATACGAAATTATTGTTTTCACTTAACAGCAACCTCTTTCTGAAACTTATCTATTCTAATTAAGCTGCACCTCGCTTGAATGGTCAGCCATGTCACAACCAAACAGAAGTCCGAACTCCTAACGACATATTCCGTGAAATTGTTTGCGAGTGTGAGCATATCGAAAGAAGTAACACTGTGAGTGTTCTGTCCAAACGTTTTCATTAACACCTCTCTTAACCTTTCAGGCTTCTCCATATACAGAGAGAGATACTTGTAACTCTCCTGTTGGAGTTCAAACAAGAAACCACACTCCATCAACGTTGGTTAATTTGAATCCACCAACTTATCCAACGTATGGAAGTCAATCACCCCTCAGATTGGATCAAACAACGCAATCTATGGCAACTTCAGCTATTTCTTCTCATGGTCAAGCATTAATGACTAACACCTCATCTACAGCTGCCCATTTCGGTACTTCGAAGATATCCTATACACGATCTGAATACTACAACATTTCAGATATGTATGGGATGCCTTTTTCACCTCCACCATATTCTCCACATGATATGACTTATGCAGCTTTGTCTCCAGAGCCTGTTGGTAATTATACAAATGTACAAGCTGTGTCTATTGCTCAACCAAACCTGACTCATTCAATTGTTTCGTCAACTGTTGCTCAACCCGTATTATTTTCGGGTGCTCAATTGCCAATCAATCCAGCAGACTTACAGGTGAAATATAGCATGAAACGTGAGAATTTGATAAATGACCACATTGTTCGCGAGTTGAACTCTGATCTTCGTGATAAATTCGTGAACAACTCCAAAACTTTGTGCAATACATCTAGCTCAACAATAGTTTGTAGGGCGGAGAAAACTGAAAATATAATGAAGCTGATGTGCACTCGCGTGTGTGTGATAAAGTGATAAATTAGGTAGCTTCATAAGCGGCTTATTATATGCCTTCGTAAAGCGACAAAACTTCAGCGCCATGCTTAGAAGATGACAAATCATAAAGAGGGATGAATCATTGATTATTTCAGAATACTCAACTTATTGAGGGATTAGTGAAGATTGTTATGAATGCCCTTATGCAATCCTCCATTGGTGATGGTCAGTCTGTCAAAGAAAGCCCAGAAGACATATTGCGAAGAAAGCGCCAAAAGGTTATTAATAGAGAGTGGAGATAAGACTATCATCGCTTATTCTCCTCTTGGACTCAGACGATAATTTATCTATCAATCTCTTTTTAAGAATAATGAGGCAGCCGCACGATATCGTAAAAGACAGCGTGATGCTCGCGGAAAATCAGACGAGGAACTCGAAGGACTGTCCAAAAGAAATGACGAGCTTAGAAGTGTCATCAACAATATGGAGAGAGAAATTCATGAACTTAAAGAAGCAGTGTTAAGTTCAAAATAACTTTACCTCACTCTTAAGATGCAGCTAGCTATCCCCCCCCCCCCAAACAGTGAAAGTAAATCATATGTCTATGTATACAGAAGCTACACACACACAGTTTTAACGATATGAAGAATTTTGTTCCTTTATCAACATCAAATGTTTTAGGAAAAATTGCACCTCAAATTTCATACACATATTAGGTAGACATCACAGTGTTCCTGATATTCCACAGGGTATTTCACTTCAGAAGAGATTTTTCCCGAAATAAATTTTATTCTCATCAACCTACCTTTTTAAAAACATTTCAAATTGTTCAATTATTGACAAGTGATAATTAATTGTCCGATTCCATGAATTATTGTTGCCTTATCAATGTCTATGTCTATTGTCTAACTAATTTCGACTTTGAGCTCTCTGTTTTCTCTGATTAAAATGATAGGTCTATATATCTGCGTGTTTGTATGTAAGTGTGTATATCTTGAGTATATGGAACGACAGCCAGAAAATCGGAAAAAAATTTACTCCTTTTTTTGGACAGCCAATGCGTGATCTACTTCTAATCCCAGTAACCAATTGGACCCCTAAAAAAAAGTATTCCCATCATCTACTATATGAACGCACATTGGAGTGACAGCCGAAGGGCCTAGAAGAAATGTCGGTGCAGGCTGCAATGATGGTGAAGGAGATACATCCGATAAAGGGGCTGAAAACAAGAAGAGATCATATGTTAGCTCCCAACTGGGACACACCCTTCAAAGACTTCTCCTTTTTGATAATATAGTCTCTGTAGCGACGGATGGCACAGCAATAGATGATGAGAGAAAATGGAAGCAAAATGCTCAGACAAATTGCCGTATAAATCAAAATAGTTGATAACCCCATCACTGGATTGACGAAAACAGATGCAGCGGCAACCGAAGCTTGTTCTTCTCCGCAGTCCTGAAGTTTTTGTTTGCAAAACAAGGAGTTTCAATTCACCTGTATATCGATGATATGATACTTGCTGTAGAGTTGAGCTAAATGAGATACAGACCCGACATTGGTTATAGAAAGAGAAGATAAAGCCGTATTAGGGCTTACTATTTTACCATCCTTAATCGTGTGGAAGCAGACGAACGATCTATAAGAAAGGGTTTGTCAAATTCTCAAACTAAAATATAACCTCGTTCTGTTGTTATTGAGTGACATCGGTTTGTCAACTACAACTTTCATAGGTAAATCTGGATGATCGGAAGACAAAGCTGCGGCTAGTCTTCTGGAATAAAAACAGCATCAGACTCGAATTTAACCGCTTTTTACCTCTCAAATCCTTTAATGTTTCGAGACAATTCAGAAGCAGGTAAATCAAAAACAAATTTAGATTTTCTAGCATCATTCATTAAATGATATTCTTGATTGATCATGTAGGTTCCATTCGGGCTATGCGTTGCTAGCGAAACCTTATAGATTCCATCATGCTCGGAAGCTAGCTTCGGTGACACACGAACAGTGTTTGTTTCTTCATCAAGCATAAACAGCTGGTTCAGAGCTGTCTTAGTAGATGTAGCTGGAAGCATATCAGCACATCTTAAACAAATTCCATTTCATTTCTTGAACTTTGGCCAAACATACGGTGTGTACTGAACTCGGATAATAGAAGAGTTCAATTTCCAGTGCACGAGAGTTGGTGGATTAGACTGTTGCTTAACGGGTATAGAAACTTGTTGAAGGAGCGGATCTTTAATTATCGAATGATCGAAGAGGAGGGAATGAAAAAACTAACCCAATGTCATGATCGTATTATTATAAGCTGTCATATCAGGTATAATAAACTGCTGTTCGTGCTCTTTTTCCACAATGAACTTAATCATATCGCTTCTGCGACTATCGAACTGTAACTCTGGATCAAGTAAAGATTTCTCTGATCTGAAAAAGAACACATGAAAATTAAGTAGATTTTCCTCAAGCTAGAATCTCTATGAAATCAGAATGCAACCGTCCAGTACGTATTATAGGAACGAAACTCACCTAGCTATAGCACATAAGTATATGCGATGCTCTTTTATGTCATCTTCTCTTCTATTGAAAGTTATTTCGCCAAACTCTTCATCAATGGTGAAATATTTAGAGTATGGTGAGCCTAAACACGTCGAGCCATGCTAGGAATTGTTACTAACAACTTACAGGATGGTATGATTTGATAGTACACCGGATCTCCGTCAGCGTCGAGAGCGCTCAGTCGACCAATCGGAACAATTGGACGAAGTGTGAAAAGGAAAGAGGAAGACTGAAAAAAAAACCATTCCATATATAATCATGTCGAACTTCCAATGATTGAAATAAAATAAAAAACTTACGTTAATAAAGACAGGATTATTGTCATTGACGTTTTCCACTTCGACTCTCCATAAACGAGTACTCGATGAATTGAATAGAAGGTGCTCAGCTTTTATTATCAGCTTAAAAGAATCAGTTTTTAAGAAAAAAAATTTTCAACACGTCTTCGTAATACCCATTTTCATTTCAAATAAACATTTGTTCATGCAAGCCATTGGTTAACATTCAGTTTCAAAATAATGATGAGCAAACTATATTATGATCATAGAACAGTAGAGATTAATTTTTTCAACATTGAAACAAACAGCTTAATAACAATAGATATTGAAAGTCGTCATTTTAACTCTGAATCAGGAAAATTCAAATTGGCTAAACTAATTGAGACCCAAAAATGCAAGTGCAATAATATTAACAGCGACCAGAGTATCATTCGTAAGATTATCCATCTTTTGATCATCATCAAATAAAAAGCGCTGGGGTTGGGGAGTTAGAGTTGTCTCCTGCCCACTTCCAACAGCAGCACAAGATAGCTGCCAATATGGACGATGTAGTTCGGTCGTCTCTTTATGTGCATACTCAATCAATCTCTTGTAGACGCGTAAATAAACTCCTAACAAACACATCAACATTTTGATTTCAATCTTTCTATTAATTGTACCTTGAGTAGCCTTAACATCTTTGTTCAAACGAATATTCTCGTCAGTATTAGATTCAAACAAATGTAGAGGAGCTGGGCGACTATCTCGCTTCAGACTTAACAAACGCTGATTGTTTATTCGCAAGGTTGAGAGTAGACCAGTTTTTAATCTGTAACAAACTGTTCTCATAAGCTTTTCAAGATACAAAGTTTAGAGGTATCATCTTCGGAATGTGGGATTCTTTGAACAAAAGTGTTAGAGATGAGAGAACGCTAGTAGATTCACTTCAAGATAAAAAGATCAAAAAAAACCATGCCTGTATTCTGTTTTTCTATTCCTTCGATCAACAGGTACAGAAAAATGAAGCTCACAAGCAGCAACGAGCATTTTGTTTGAGCTGATATTTTTCGAAATTTCCCACAAAATATCGTCGACGACGTCTTCCATGCCGCCATTTTTAACTTCGAATATACTAGTTATATATTTTGTTTTATATACAGTGTCTTTCATAAAGTCGTCGAACATTGCTTCTTCCTTCGATTTGACTGCGTGCAGATTTTCAGTCGTGGTGGCTCTCTGCAACCCAAACATCTTATATCCTTCTTCATGCGTCTGACGGAACCGTTTCGCTCGAGGCATTTTTGGTGATAAATGATGAAGGTTCTGAGTGGAATAAGAAAATGAATTATTAGGCGAGCCCATTGAGAGAGAAGATATGTAGCCAGACTCTCTAGATTCCACGTGCCTGCGATCTTCATCATCTTCAATTTTTAATCTAGGAAGAGGCGCTGAGCTTATTGAGTCATCTACCTCATCGAGCTCTATGGACGATGTTCGATTTGTTGAAGCTTCCGACATTGCTTTTTCCGGCTTAGGATCTTCACAGAGCGTCAGAACATCACTGGTTGATTCATCATTAATCTCCGCACAGTTCTGACTATCGTCACATATTTCATGAGAGAGTTCAGATGAATTCACATTGACTTTCTCTTCATTCAATGTTTTTTCTGTTGAGCAAGATGTGGTACTTGTTTGCAAACTGGATGAGAAATTCGTAGATTCCGAGTCTGCCATAGACACAGGAACTCCATCCAAAGGTACGTGAGTAAAGGTCGTTTTGGCGCAATCCGGTACTTCTAAATCTGAGCATGAATGGTTTCTAGTTACCACAGGTGTGGATAACACGGCACTCTTTTTTTCGTACGATGCATGGCCTCGAAAGCTAGGCTGGTCCAATTCTTGGAAATCGTCAATCATAGGCATATTCTCAATTTCCGAACGCATATACTGAACTTCAAGGAAATCTACTGAAGCATGCATTTCGTTCGGGATGCTAGAATTGTCGACAGCATCGGCGTAATGGTGAACGAATGAATCGTCGGCATGTGCTTCATTCTCTAAACGATTCAAAACACTTCCTATTCGTTCAAGTTCTATCAGCGAGGAAACATCAGTAACTTCGTTTTCACCTACTGTAGAGTGTTCGTCCTGTATTGAATCGTGAATATCGATAGTGATTTCGATTGTTTCATGCTCTTTTACAAGTACCGGTAATGGCAAGGTCTGATGATCGTGCGACGTAGCTACTTCATTATTTTCGCGTGAAATCTTCTTCTTCAGTTTAGCAGGAAGCGTTCCGAGGGGGTTCTTTTTAGAAACTTGCAAATTAGACTTTTGTCCAAGTTCTATCATGCGAACCATTGCTTTCTGGCTAAACTCTATAAGCTTCTGATTTGTTGGATCCTGATCTTCCGCACAGTAATCATTGTCCACTCCACACTGCAAGCTCAATGGTCTGATCTCTGATGAAGTCGATCGTCTTGAAGAGCTATACACTGATGTGACCATTTCACAATTTTTCGTTGAATTACGGCGGCTTTTCCGCACATTTCGCAAGCGGCTGACTAAGCGACTTATTCGTTTTTCAAGTTTTTCCATACCCTAGCCTAAAATTATAATAAAGAAAATTCAAAGTCGAAAAGCGAAAATGGAGTGCTAACATGAGAACGAACAGAACCTTAAAATAAGTATCTTAGAATAACTTTAAAAAGGTGATGAAAATGT